GCTGGCAGTCCCCACCAGGGAGGGTGCCTCAGTTTCCCCTGGGGCTTTGCACACAGGCAGGGGGAAGGGAGGAGGAGGAAGAGGAAGACTCCCAAAGCCTGTGAGACCACCCAGGCCACCTCTGCCCCCAACATCCTGCGTCCCAACACCCCAGCAAGTGTCTGCAGGCTGAACCCCATCCCGCAGCCACGCTCCCTGCACTTTTCCTCTTCCCCCCCATATCTGACCAGCTCCTGGCTTCGTGAAGGTGTGGCGCCAGCCCCAGCCCAGGGCCGTGCACAGGCCAGGTTGAAGGCAGCTGCCTGCAGGCTCAGGCAGACACATGGTGGTGGGTCCCTTCAAGCCTGCTCCATCAGAGGAGGGCACAGTGCTACCCCTGCCTCAATCTCCCCACCTCCCAGCTGTAGGCGCTTTTTAGGCTGCAGATTTAGGGGGGGGGTGTTAGTTGGGGCCACCCCCCTTTCTGGAGACCTCCGTGTCCCGCAGGCTCAGCTCGCCCTCCCGCCATGGCATCGCCGGACGGAGCCAGTGGCGTGGGCGGCAGCCCCGAGGAGACAGAGCTTAGCATCACCCTGACCCTTCGCATGCTCATGCATGGCAAGGTAATGGCAAGGTGTTGGCACTGCTCAGGGTGGGTCAGCAATGCCCAGGGTGGGGGGACATGCTGGAGCACCAGCTCGTCACTGTGCCCTGTTTTCCTCCCTTGTTCTCACTCCCCCTGGGAGCAGCATTCCCAGAAGTATTTCTTCCCCCATCCCAAGCCAGGGAGGGGCCCGTTCCCATGCCCCAGGGTCACCAGCAAGCCACTTGCTGTCCCAGTGGCCACAGGGCAGGGCCCACCAGGCTGTGGGCAGAGGAGGGCTGTGGCAGGCAGGGAGCTGCCTGCTGAGGGGGTCACCCTTCTCTCTGTCTTTGCAGGAGATCGGCAGCATCATCGGCAAGGTAAGATTTGGGGTCCAGGGCACCACCAGCCCCAGGCTCCCCTGGACCTGACCACCTGCCCTGTTCCTCTCCCTGCAGAAAGGAGAGACTGTTAAGAGGATACGAGAGCAGGTAAGGGTGTGCTGGGGGGCTGCCAGGTCCTGCTGCCTGTCCTGCCTGGGCCTGGTGGCTCCCACCTGCCAAGCCCTGGCCACCCCCATTCCCAGGTGGACCCAGGGGAGACACGGCTGCACCCCAGGGAAGGCTGCCTGGGACAGGTGGGATGGGGAAAGCCCATGTCCACAGGCATCGAGGCCAACCCTGGTGAGCCCTTCCCTGGGGGGGGACACACATCAAGCTCAGGACCTGCAATGTCCCTGACCGGGTGTGACCACCATCCCCAGAGCAGCGCACGCATCACCATCTCAGAGGGGTCCTGCCCTGAGCGCATCACCACCATCACCGGCTCCACCGATGCCGTCTTCCGCGCCGTCTCCATGATTGCCTTCAAGCTGGAGGAGGTAGGCAGCCCCCCGACACCCCTGCTGGGTGCCCACTGAGCGAGCTGGAAACACTCACCCCATGCCGGTGGGCTCACGGGGGTCCAACACCACACACCCCTCACCTCGCAGGACCTGGGAGCAGGGAGCGACGGGGCAGCAGTGGGCAGAGCACCGGTGACCCTGCGCCTCGTCATTCCGGCCAGCCAGTGTGGCTCGCTCATCGGCAAGGCAGGAGCTAAGATCCGGGAGATTCGGGAGGTGAGACTGAGGGTGCCCTGGGTGTGGGATCCCCATTTCCCCTGGGGGGCATGGATCTGGGGCCTGCCACAGTCCTGTGGCAGGTGATGCAGGAGTGGAGCATCACCCTGCAGGTCCTGCAAAGGTCCCTTGGGGACCAAGAGGGGACAAGGGAGGTGTGAGGTACTGAGCCCTTGGGGGCGGTGGCTGAGGGACCCCAGCATTTCCCTTTGTCTCCCCCAGAGCACGGGGGCACAGGTGCAGGTGGCCGGTGACCTGCTGCCCAACTCCACTGAACGGGCTGTCACCGTCTCAGGGGTGCCAGACACCATCATCCAGTGCGTGAGGCAGATCTGCGCCGTCATCCTGGAGGTACCTGCCAAGCCCTGTGTCCAGCCCAGGGGAGCACGTGATGCCTGCCCCACCCCCACTCCCTGGGGCTTCCCATGCCCACCTGGACCCAGGCACTGGGGTCACCCTGCATGGAAGCCT